AGCACATAGGTTCGTGCTACACGTTGGGCTTTCGAGCTGTTCTTGGACGAACTTCCTTACAAACGTTAAAATTCTGGGATTATTAGTAGAGTTTGGTGGGCATTAGAAAAGTAAGAGTTGGGTAGATTACCGACTATCCTGGGCTCTTAAGACTTGGGACAGTTTTTGCCCTCCGTTTGTTTCTGTGATGGCATTTGATTCCAACTTTTGTTGGTACGTATAACTCAACCGGTCTGTGTTATGCGCTTCTGTGAAACAAACGGATTACTTTTTGTACTTTGGGCATTTATTTATTTATTTGTTTATTATTATTACTTGCTACTTATTTTGCTTTTTCTCATTTGCAAGAGAACACCTACTTTGAGAATAGCACCTTTTAGTTTGGAAAGGAGCCTGGTTAAGACAATTTAAAAAGCTCAACATGTTTTCAGAAGAAGGTGATCTTGTAATGGCTTCCACTAGACAAGTAGGCCAAGTCAAGCACAATGCAAGAAAGTTGCTGGTTGTTGAGTTGAGTTTTATGATTATTTTATTAGGGGGTTTGAAGAAGTCTTTATTTTCATTTGTGAAGTTTTGAATACACCAAACTTCCTTTTTTATAGGAAAAAGGTCTAATTTTTTTCCTTTTAAACAAGTCAAGTCAGCAAAAAAAATAAGAAACTAAGTGCTACTTTTTCATAGTAGTTTACTCCTATTAGTTGATCCAATTAGTTGATCTAATGTGAAATTCAATTCAGTTGATCAGTTATGGTGATCAACAGCACATAGGACTTTCCAGACATATTTCTCTGCCGTTTAGATTTCTCCCCTTTCTGATTGAGACCAATAAACTGTTGAAGGTAGGAATTGGGAGGCTTCCAGTTTTCTATTCATGCGTCGAATTTTAAAAGTAATTTTAATTGACATTAAAAATAAAGGTTACTGATTTTTTTTAGTGATTGAGGGAAAATTAGTGATTGAGGGAAAGCATGCCAGTGGTAGACCTACTTGATGGATGAGTTATGTCAAACAATTGATAGAAATTTTTTATAAGAAATTTTTTTGGTGATGCAGTAAAGAGAATTTAGAACTACAAAAACATTTTAAAGGCTTAATTTTCGTAGTTAAATTAAGTAGGTACCCATCACCTATACTCAGCAATTATCAAGCTCGTTGAGTTTAAAGATATTGGAAAACATTTTTAAAAATTGGGAACTTTTTTTAAAGTTATGAAGAATTACAGTGATGTTTTGGTTTTAGTCCAGTAAAAGTTGTGTTTAAATTGGTGCTTTTGTGTTTTTTGTTTTGTTGTGAATTCAGAATACAGTTATGGCCACCCAGGTAATGGGGCAGTCTTCTGGAGGAGGAGGCCTGTTCAGCGGTAGTGGCAACATTGGCATGGCCTTGCCTAATGACATGTATGACTTGCATGACCTCTCCAAAGCTGAATTGGCTGCACCTCAGCTTATCATGTTGGCAAATGTGGCCTTAACTGGGGAAGTAAATGGCAGCTGCTGTGATTACCTGGTTGGCGAAGAAAGACAGATGGCAGAATTGATGCCTGTTGGAGATAACAACTTTTCAGATAGTGATGAAGAAGGACTTGAGGAGTCTCCTGAAATAAAAGGTGAACCCAGTGGATTGGAAAACATGGGACTGGAAAGTTTGGAACTCAGTGTTGCAGAATCACAGCCTGTGTTTGAGATGTCATCTGCCCCAGAAATTTACAGCTCAAATAAAGATCTTCCTCCTGAAACACCTGGAGCAGAGGACAAATGCAAGAACTTGAAAACCAAACCCTTTCGCTGTAAGCCATGTCAGTATGAAGCAGAATCTGAAGAACAGTTTGTGCATCACATCAGAGTTCATAGTGCCAAGAAATTTTTTGTTGAAGAAAGTGCAGAGAAGCAAGCAAAGGCCAGGGAATCTGGCTCTTCCACTGCGGAAGAGGGAGATTTCTCCAAGGGCCCCATTCGCTGTGATCGCTGTGGCTACAATACCAATCGATATGATCACTATACTGCTCATCTGAAACACCACACCAGAGCTGGGGATAATGAGCGAGTCTACAAGTGCATCATTTGCACTTACACCACAGTAAGCGAATATCACTGGAGAAAACACTTAAGAAACCATTTTCCAAGGAAAGTATACACATGTGGAAAATGCAACTATTTTTCAGACAGAAAAAACAATTATGTTCAGCATGTTCGAACTCATACAGGTAAGAGGACCTGTGTAGTCCATAAATTCAACTCATTTTTGATAGTTTAATTGAGCGAGTAGTTAAAACTAACGTTAAAAAAGGAGGACTCTGGGTTCAAGTCCTGGTTCCATTATTTGTTGTCTTTATGACCTTAGACAAGTTATTTAATCTCTTTGTGCCTCAGTTTCTCCATAGGGGTAACAATATACTATAAGATTAAAGGATTCAGTGAAAGAACACTTGTAAAGCACTATTTATTATATGGAAGAATAGGCACGAGAAGTCAATATTCTTTCTAAAATACATATTCTAATAATTTGGGATAGACCATTTAGCCAAATTAGACTTTTTTTTTAGAAGTTGCATTTAATTGGCAATGAATACATCTAAGATGCAGTATAGTTTCCAAAAGGAATTGAGGGCTTAAACAAAAAAGAAAAATCCAATGGTTAACCCTTGCGCAACTCCTTTTAACAAAGCCTATTTAAAACATTTGACTTGTGGTATCGAGTTCCTAAATGGAACAACTTGTCTCCAAAATATAGAAATGTGAGAAGTTATTTTTTAAAAGATTGGGATTATCACAATCAAACCACTTTCATAAGAAAGTAAACACGCGTGACAAATGCAACTATTTTTCAGACAAAAAATAATGTTCAGCTTTTCGAAGTCATGAAGGTAAGAGGACTTCTCTAATTTGTGTGTGCTATCATGTTTTAAAAATATGAAAAATTTCAAATAAAATACTGTACTGCACCAGTAGGTACCCATCACCTATACTCAGCAATTATCAGTATCTTGTCACATTTGGCAAAAATTTTTTAATTTTTATTCCCTTTTTAAAATTAAATTTATTGGGGTGACATTGGTTAATAAAATTATAGGCTTCAAGCATACAGTTGAATAATATGTCATATGTGTATTGCATTCTGTGCTCACCAGCAATTCATTTTTCAAAATAACAGCTTTATTGAGATATACTCCTACCACCATAGAATTCATAGTTACAATTCAGTGGTTTTAATATATTCACAGAATTGTGCAGCCATCACCACTATTTTAGAACATTACCCCAAAAAGAAATACTCATTACTTCATACCACCTCTTAGTTATTTACTTTTAAATTGACTTTCAAATCTTTGTAATTAGGGGTCTCATTTTTTTCAAAGAAATGTTTGTAACTATTGGTAATTGATTTTCACATTTGTCTTACATTTTCCTGGTAAGAGTTGGTACTTTGGAGGACTAATTACTGGTCTGAACAGAATGGATAGAATAATCTAGTACTGTACTCTTTGGATCACAAGTGAAAAGGGACTATGGGATGCTATTTGGATCAGGCCCCTTTTGCAAGAGTTGTCGCTCGGTGGGACTGAATCCCACAGATAAAGTGGGGCACAGTGGGAATGGAAATTAACATTACTTTGCTTAAGTGGTAGACTTAAAACTTGCAGGTGAAATTCCATTACGAGACTTCTAAGCCCCAGCAGAGAGCTCCTGTATTTAAAGCTTTAAAATCTAGTCAAGTAAAAGAATTTGTAGTCCTTTTAAAATTTGTCGTAACCTGTTATTGATTATCTCCATGCTTTGAAACCAGTTTATTCCAAAAGTAAAGTTCAGACATTACAAAAATACATAGCATAGGAAACAAAAGCTACTTGGGAATCCTACCCCATTCATTAATCAATAAACAGTTTAAGTTTCAAAATTGTTAGACTAACCTCACCTACAGTATCTTAAAAATAATCTGAAATACCATATATACTTTAATCATAAGTATTTCATATTATTTTAACAGTTTTTTTGAAAACCTTGGGGCCTAATTTAGAATTGGCTTATTTATAATGGAGAGCTTTTTGATAGTAACTATTGATGTGGTAAAGTGCATGACTTTTGTGTGAAGTTTTACAAATACATGTATTCATAACCAGCAGGCAAATCAACATAAAGAAAATTACCAGCACTCCAGTGGCTTTGTTGTATCAAATTTAGATTTTTTTGGTCAGTTTTAGTTTGATAACTTCAGAACCACTGAGTCACTGAACAATTAAAAATTTTTCCCCAAAAGTTAACGTTTTCAACAATAAATCTAAACTTGATTTAAGAACATTTTTAGAAGGAAGAAAAAGAAAAATAGAGACGACTAGAAAATTTTTTTGTGTGTATTTCCAATTTTTTATGTAAAGGGCTTTTTTTTTTTAAAAAAGGAATTCTACATTTTGCTATTTCTTTTATTATTATAGTGATTTATTTTTATTTTGTTACAGTCTAGGTGACTAATTTTTAGTGGCTTTATTTTATAGTTAACTATACCATCCATTACTTAATTTTTTCTCCACATTAATATAAGGTTGATATTTTCATAATGTTATGATTTATATAGCTAACATTGGTTATATGTATCTCTTCACATTTTAGTGTTAAACCTGTTTGGTTTTTAAAATGCTTTTTAAAAAGACTTTCCCTTATTACCTTGTGATTTTTTAAAAAAAACTTAAAACATTTTGATGTGTAAATTGAAGGATAATATTTTGATTATATAAATGCTGGGAGTATCTTTGGTATTAAATGCATAGTTCTGAAAATTGTATTTATGGAAAAATCATCTAGTGCTGAAAAATAGAGGTGTAAGAAGTGGTAACGGAATCACTTATTTCTCATTTCTCATTAGGTAGCCTGGTTTTCATTTACTTAATGGATTTTTTTCTGTTCTTTTATTGAGTGACCAATGTGAGGTACTTTTTTATATGCTAATCTTCAGAACAATCTCTAGAGCTAAATTTCAGGCTCGGATTTGAAAGGTCACATACAACTGACATTCATAGTTCCTAATCTCTTTTTATAAGTAATTCTCATAGTGGAGGCTGAGGATTATTTTCATTTGAGTCTTTAATCAAAGGATTTTTAATTTTGTGGTTTAGATATTTACCCAGTTTATAAATTCTACTTTAAAAGATGACATTTTTGCCTGTATCCGTGACTGAAAATTACATTGTTTTTGTAGAATATTTGTGCCTGTGGTATAGAATTGCACAAATAGAAGCAATTTATTCTGCTATAAAGAATTTAAAAGTAAATTGTCCTTAATTGATTCTTCATGTTAGTCTATAACAGTGTTTAATTTTTTTCCCATTAACTTTTTTTTTATAACATCTTAGTTGAGATATAGTTTACATACCATACAATTTACTATGGATTAGCCTGTTCTGGACATTTTATGTATATATATGGAATCATACAACACGTGGTCCTTTATGACTGCCTTCTTTCACATAGCATAATGTTTTCAAGGTTCATTTATGTTGTATGTACAGTACTTGTTTTCCTTTAATTACCACAGTATTTTGTCTATTGATTGATCAGTTAATGGATATTTGGATTGTTTCCACTTTTTGGCTATTATGAGTAATACTTTGAACATTTCATGTACAAGTTTTTGTGTGAATAAGTTTTTTTTTCTCTTGGGTGGGATTGCAAGGCCAGTGGTAACTATGTTTAATCATTTGAGGAACTTCAATTATTTTCCAAAGTGGTGCGTTATTTTACAATCCCAGAAGTGTATAAGAGGTCCTGTTTCTCCCTGTCCTGACCAATATCTGTTAACATCTCTTATTTTCATCATAGCCATCCTAGTTGTGAAATCTTCATCTCATTGTCATTTTTTAATTTTTTTATTATTATTTTTTTCATCATCATTTTGATTTGCATTTCCCTCATAGCTAATGATACTGTGCATCTTTTAATGAATTTACTGGCCATTTGTGGATCCTTACAGAACTACATTTAACATTTTAAAATTCTTTCCAGGTCAAAGTAGTCATTCTATTGCTATGAACTATTTACAGCTAATTTATACCTTTTTTCATTATGTCTTTTCTTTGTCTCATTTAGTTGACATGTCTTTTATTAGACACATCTGTTAACTGTATCTTACTATGTAGACAAAATAATAACTGCTCTTTATTGAGGGCTTATGCGTCAGGCACAGTGTTAAGTGCTCTGCATGTATTGTGTTAATTTAAATTCTCACGCTTCTAGGAAGAGAAAGTACTGTTACTTTCATAGATACAGAAACTTGCCCAAGGTCATAGTTACTGTTTTGTGTCCAAAGACTAGATGAAACAAATTGTCAAGATTTTATTTTAAAACTGTTTTGTGGTTGACAATTGCACCCCAAAAGAGGACACATTTCCTGCCTTGGAGTCTTAAATTCTTTAGTGCAAAATCACTGGCCTTTCATCTTCAATTGCTCTCAGTCCTTATGGCTTTATAAGTAAAATTTGTTTTAACACTGACCTATTTATAAGTTATATCTACTACCTGAAATTCCTACCTTAAAGCAACAAAATCTCTACTCAAAAGCATTATTGCTTTAAGCTAGCAATTTCAAATGGTAGATTTATCATTTACAAGTATTAAAAAAATTACCCAAGCCGTAGCATCAGAAAATTTGGATAGATTTTTTTAAAGGCTCATTCTGATTTTTAATATGTATATTTTAATTATGATTATTATTTATGCCTGCAGCACCTGGCCTTCCTAGGGGGTCTCCCATCCAACTACTAACCAGGCCCGACCTTGCTTAGCTTCTGAGATCAGACATTGGGCTTGTTCAGGGTGGCAAGGCTGTAGACCGTGGACCGTGGCTCCACTGGGGCGCAAACCCAGGACATTCTGTGTGTAAAGCAGATGCGCTAACCGCTACGCTATGGAACCATGCCTGCTAATTTTTTTAAAAAAGAATGCATCTTAATACCTTATCAGGATACTTTCTCAGTTCTTAATATTTAAATTAATAACAGGTAGCATTACTGAAAGTAAAAAGGGCTGTGAGAATTCAGAATGCCAGTGAAATTTTCAGCAAAGTTGAAATTGTATAGTTAGGTGAGTTTTGAATTAAATCATTTACATTTCTAAGACATGATGTAAACTTACTGTTTTGCCAAGAATAGGAAGAAAAATTCTTGTTAGAAAAATAGCCAGTACTGATTATTGTATATGTTAGTCAGAATTGTATTTGCCTTATTTTTATCATACTTAAACACTAATCATTATGTTTTTGCAGGAGAACGTCCATATAAATGTGAACTTTGTCCTTACTCAAGTTCACAGAAGACTCATCTAACTAGACATATGCGTACTCATTCAGGTTGGTAAGAAAGAACTTTTCTGTCATTTTTAGTAAACTACCTTTATAAGGAAGTTTTTCTAGACCTGGAATTGGGTCATTATTTATGATTGTATTTTTAATGTAATTTAGAAATTAGAGTTAAAAATCAGTATTCTATTAGTGTGGAGCTGTATTTAAGTGGAGATTCTTAACAAGGAGTCTACAGGTGGAACTCTTGACAGTGAATGTAAATGTGTGTGCACTTTTTCTGGGAGGAGAGTTGTTATTTTTCATCAGATCTTCATCAAGTTCCATATCTCTAATAAAAAATTGAGCTGATATCATAGACCAAGACTGGTTTATCCTTTTTGAACAACTCCTACCGTCTCACACTCCTTCCCTGACACAGTATGCCACCTAGTTTCATAGTATGTGATTGACAGGCTCCAGGGTTCCTTTAGCTTATCAGGTCTTGAAATTAGATTTGCTTTCTTTTGAGAATTGATAGGGCTTCTTAGGACAGATTTACAAAAGCCAAACAATGATCTGGATATTAATTTATTAACCTGTAATAGATAAAAATGCAGGACTATAATAGATAAAAATGCATGGCTATAACAAGGGAGAGAGTCATCTACTCCAGTGAAATAATCAGGATTACCAACCTGAATTGGTCCCCATTATCAAGGTATGTAGGTGGACGAGCTAAAAATATTAGCATAGGTGGTCTTGAATGAATAATTAGTTCATTCTGGCCATGATTGACTCTTGTTGAACTGCTGTGTCTCATCAGAACACTCCAGATTTAGAATATATGTGTACCCCTGTGGGCAAACTATGCTAAGACTATGTTTACAGAAATCTATGTAGACCCATCTCTCTCAGTTGACAGTTACCTTAAATCAGTCCTATCTGATTGACTAGCCACATGTTACTGAGCTTGTGAAATGTGGCTGGTTGAAAATGAGATATATTAAGTAGTGGAATTCAAACACTATTAAGAAAATGTAAATTACTCTCTTTTAAATATTGATTACATGTTGACATTGGATATGTTGGGTTAAATTAGTAAATTTTTACCTTTTTTTTTTTTACCTTTGTAATATGACTACTCGAAAACTCAAAATTACATATGTTGCTTTCATTTTATTGACATTAAATATAGTTGTTTTAAGTCAATGATGATTAAGACTTGGTTATAGTACAGATTCTGATTTGAGTAGCTATGCAGGAGTCGCATAGTATGATTGCTAGCCTTTCTTGGCTCTACGTGCTTGTCGTGTTAATATACTTTGAGTTTATCTTCTAAAATCTCCTAGCTATTGAGTTGGGTCACTTACTTTTGGATGTTTCCTGGTTTCATTTTCTGAGGATACCTTGGATGCTATTTCAGGCTTTCTTGAGGGTAGGCCTATGTCCTTTTTATAGCTATTCTCTAGCTCTTGAGTAAAACAGTTAAGAACTTTACATGAGTTAACTCATTTTAATCTTCATAACTATCCTATGATGTATAAGTTCTATTATTATTCTCATTCTACAAATGAGGAAACTAAAGCATTGAAGAAATCCCCTTTCTGGGTTTGTCTTACTTTCTCATGGTGTCATTTAGTTTTTCCTCTGTCCCTGTGCCTTGTTTTACTTGTACACTGGTAATTAAATCTAAATGCTTGATACTTTGTTTCATTTGAAGTAATGTCTGGTTGACTTATCTGTGTTGCTGAGTCACTGGATTAGAATGACGTACTTGTATCTTTTTAATTGAATTTATAGCAAGCATTTATGGTGTTTTAAACTAATCAGTAATCTTTGAACAATTTTGAGTTTGCTAAAATGTTGTCTTTTGAATTTTCTTTGCTATATTGTTAAGATGATTTTCAGTAGTTGCTGTTTGTTAACATCTTTTAAAAGTTTATTAATAATGAGTAGTAACTACTATTTATTGTAAGCATGCTGAGATATGTTATTTCTAGTCTTAGTACTCCTAAAATACTTAATCTCAGTTTGTAAATTAGGACACAGGTTCAGAGAGGATAAATGGCTTTTTGTAAAGTTTCTGTCATTCTTCCAAATTAGAGGAGCTAGGATTTGGCCTCAGACTTCCCTACCCTCCCATTTTCAGTTATCAACAGTGGTAAATGCATTATGGCTCATGGAATGGCTCAAGAAGCTACTGCATAATGAAATTGGAACCACAACGTATTGGGAGAACAGAGTCATTGACTTTTATTGGATACCAACAGTTTGAGTCACAAACAGGAAACAAACATGGTTAGTGTATTTTGTGTATGAGTGTGCAGAATTATTTTCAGTAGATACTGTGTTTTAATACTTTTAATTGATGTTGCTGATAACATTTGGAATAAAGTGAAGTGAAGTCAAGTCAAATTGGTTAGGTAGTTTTTCTGACTGGGTTGCATGAATACCTTGGGTATCTTCTCTATGGTTTGGAGTCTGATCTCTACAAGGTCTTTTGGTTCCTTGTTCATGTGACTGTATTTTAAGGAAGAGAAGTGTGTGCTCAGTCTCTTATTTCTGGAAGAGATTAGGCTCTGTTGAGTTGGTACATTTAGCTAAACTGACAATTAGATTGGTTTATGAGGCAAAACCACATTGGTTATTTGCTCGGAGCATTTCCATCCTTGGTTGGGGGATGGATGTGGAGGTAGATTTTTACCTGCCAAATAAGGAAGGGATCAGAATTGGGTATTGGTGAAATATCTACAGACACTAACCTCATCTGGTGTTCTCTATTTTATTGGTATTTCTACCTAATAGTATTAAGAGTAGTATCCTTACCTGGGTTGGTCCTAGAGACACTGACATTATCCTCAGCTCTCTCTTTCCTGTTCTCAGTGGAGATGCTTCCATTTCATCCTGGATGAACTATTTCTTACTGGATGAAATACATCCAGTTTTATTTGCCATTATGATATTTTTGTATATACATACCATCCATACATACAAGTTCATTTTGAATATTTTCCAGTTAATGAGTATAATGGATTTTTGTTTAAAGGAATTAAAAACTTGCCAAGTTCTATCCGCATTTTAACTCTTTTTAAGATAGAAAATTATTTTATCCAGCAATATATTTATTTTCCTTTCACCAAGTATTTGATGATTCTTATGGAGGCACTGTTTTAATAGCTAGGCTTATTTGAAAGATGTTATGGTTTGAAACTTCTTCGTAAATTCTAGAATAATTTTTAAACAGTATTTTATTGAAATTTAATTTACATACAGAAATGCACACATCTTAAGTAGACAGCTCAGTGACCTTATGTATGTTTTCACCTATTTGACTACCACTCAGATGAGGACATGGAACATTTCTACCACTCTTAGAACTAAGTTCCCTCGTCACCCTTTCCAGTCTCCCCCCAAACAATTCTCTGACTTCTCCTATCAGAAAGAACATTCTTCTATAAAAGAATTCTGAGATTCATCCCAGGTTGCATTATTAGAACTTTGCTTTTATTGCTGAGTGGTAATCAATTGTATGCCCTTGTAACTCTTTAATTAGAAATTTCTAATTTCTAATTAAAATTCTGATATTCTTCCTGGATTATTCTCGATAAGAACATGTGAAGCTTATAAAAAAAATCTTTGCCCTTTTGGATTTGCCTTACATCTATAAATTAGTTTGAGAGGAACAAAATAGACATCAGACATTTATACAGGTGAAAAACATAGGTAAATATTACTAGAATTGGAAAAGGGAGTTAAGACCATTGGTATAAGGTAAAAGGTTTTATATTTAGCTAGGTACTAATAAACTATAAAATTTTGATGGATAGATATTCTAATACAAGCAAGATTTTATGGCAATAAAACAAAAATTGGGGGTGGGGAATTAATAGAGCAAGTAAATTGTGCCATCAAATTTAAAAATTCCTATATCCTCCCATTCCCTGACCATTTCATAGATGGAGGCTTATACCTTGATTGATGCTTGCTATGTAAATTCCCTCATTCACTAGAGGTTTTAAAATGGTGCTGTTTTCATTATAATTATTTTATTAGCACAAATATTTTCCTGAGGAGGCAAACTCCATTCATCTGCTGTTTGTTTACTCAGAGCTAGGGTTTATATGGAAAGGCAGGATAAACATGTGACTCCCCCCCGCTTTTTTTTACTCATACTAAAAATTAGCCAGTTCATTCCAAAGGTGATGAATTAACAGGTAATGCATATTGACTGCCTGGCTATCTGGCCAATCCTAAGTGTTTTATATGTATTAAATTGTAGTTCACAACACTCAGGAATATTTTATAGATGAGGAAATTGAGCCTTAGAGAGTTTTCGGTAATTTGTTCAAGATCTCACAGTAAGTTGCAGAGCCCATATTTGATCTCCCAGATAGTCTTATGCCAGAGTAAGTTCTTAACTATTATGCCACCTCTCTTTCTCTGTTCTGTGTTTATATGTTAAGCAAATGTTTGTCTGCATTGAAGTGATTCACTGGAGAGGACAACATAGTGCCAAGTACTATAATGTAGCATGTTGTAGAAATCTCTTGTTTATGAATCTGTTAGTGAACTGACATGGATAGGAGTTGTCCATGTAGCTACATATCCAATCTGACGTACCTGTATATATATTTGTTTTTGTGATGAAGTCTTTTATTATCAGACATTTTATAATCATATAAAGCTTACCATCTACATGGTTTGCATAATGTCTGCGTAGTTTTGCTTTGTGAAAAAATTAAGATTTGATGTGAATTTGAGAATGTTTGAGAGATGAATTTTCATAAATGTCAATTTCCATTTTTCTACTATGCATTCCATTGGACCAGTGGGGTATGGATACCATTTGGTAATATTTACTAGAGTGTGATCTAGATGGGTATGTATTCAGGTAGAATGTGTTACTCTTACGCCTTTAATTTGGGGGTGGAGGTTGTTGTGGTTCTGTATGTACCCATGATTATGACTTTGCTTATTTTACATACCGTATCTATTTGTATGCCCTTTTTCCTTTACATAGACTCTGCCCATATTTTAGAAGGTGAGGAAAAATCAAGGAAAGTTTTGCTTTACAATAACAACTTTGGCATTGGAAAAATTTTCCAAATGAAGCTTAATTCAGCTCTTGCCGTGATAGACAAAAGGGTTAAATTTAAAGAAAAGGCCTTTTGCTCCCTGAGGCTAAAGCAGTGTTTTAAAACTTTGTAGCAAAGATCTGGAAGTGTAGCTTCATAGTATAAGGTATTTCTTTGAAGTCTCAAAATTTATCTTAACAATGTATGAATTTTATATTCTACTTTTTTATGCATTTGTTTTAACTAAACGTAAAAATTTAAAATTATCTCTTCTTTGAGTACCCTTGCCCTGAAATTAACATCCAGAGTTCAAATAATTTTGCCAGTAATTGTGTACTAATAAATCTCTGCTCTTTAATAGTCCTAGAGAGCCCCTAGCATGATGAATGTTTTAGGTGATGATGGCTAATTGAAATAATTATTTCTTCATTTGGTTTGAGAATCAATGTCAAGAGATAGAGAAAAGATATACAAATAAATATGGTAAATGTAAAGTGCATGAAACAGTCTTTTCTATAGTTTTTGTGGGTTTTTGTTTACATACATCCAATTCCTTATTTTAATAAAATCTTTAATTTCTTTCTTAATGTATGTAACGTTTCTTGTTTACCTACAGGTGAGAAGCCATTTAAATGTGATCAGTGCAGTTATGTGGCCTCTAATCAACATGAAGTAACCCGCCATGCAAGACAGGTTCACAATGGGCCTAAACCTCTTAACTGCCCACACTGTGACTACAAAACAGCAGATAGAAGTAACTTCAAAAAACACGTAGAGCTGCATGTTAATCCACGACAGTTCAATTGTCCTGTGTGTGACTACGCAGCTTCCAAGAAGTGTAATCTGCAGTATCATTTCAAATCTAAGCATCCTACTTGTCCTAATAAAACAATGGATGTCTCAAAAGTGAAACTAAAGAAAACCAAAAAGCGAGAGGCTGACTTGCCTGATAACAATAATACCAATGAAAAAACAGACACAGAACAGACAAAAATAAAGGGAGATGTGGCTGGAAAGAAAAATGAGAAGTCTGTAAAAGTGGAAAAAAAAGATAATGTTTCAAAAGAGAAAAAGCCCTGTAGTAATGCTTCAATCCAAGTGACTACCAGAACTCGCAGATCAGCAATGGAAACTAAAGCGGTGGATGTGCATACAGGAAATAATTCAGAAAAAACCTGTAAAACCAAGAAAAGCAAAAGGAAGATGGAAGCTGACACCCATTCCTTACAAGATCCTGTTCATGATGAGGACCCTGTGACAAAAAAGAAAAAGACAGAAAGCAAATCCAAAAATAGTCAGGAAGTGCCAAAGGGTGAGAACAAAATAGAGGAGATTAAAAAGCAAAATACTTATGTGAAAAAAAGTACAAAGAAGAAAATTCTGAAAAATAAATCAAGTAAAAAAAGCAGCAAGCCTGCTCAGAAGGAGACTGCCCAAAAGGCGTCTGCTCAGTCAGAGTTGCTGCCTCCCATGGAGCCTTCTCATTCTCAGATGAAGCCTGCTCTGACAGAGCCTCCTCTTCCCACAGAGCCTCAGATGAGGCCTGCTCAGACAGAGCCTCTGCCTCTCATGGAACCTGCTCCAATGGAGCTTGTTCAGATGGAGGAGCCTCCTACCATGGAGCCTTCTCCTCCTGTGGAGCCTTCTCCTATAGAGCCTCCTTTTCACATGGAGCCGATTACTAAAAAGTCTCCTCGAAAAGATAATAAAAAAGAAAAGTCTAACATGCAGAGTGAAATGGCACGGAAGGAGCAAGTCCTTATTGAAGTTGGCTTAGTACCTGTTAAAGATAGCCAGCTCCTAAAGGAAAGCGTGGGTGCACAGGATCTCTTAGCACCATCACCACCGCTGCCAAAGGAAAACTTAAAAGAAGAGGAGTCAAAAGACCAAAAATTACTCACCCAAGGTGAAGAAAATAAAGAAGCTCCTCTTCAAAAAGTAGAAGCAGAAGAGGGAGATAAGAGTCTAGTTGGTCTTGCTGCTGTTATCAAGGAATCTGCCAATATTTCATCTTCCGAACAAAACTTGAATATACCAGAGGGTGAAACTTTAGATGGCAAACTTCAGGCTGACACTAGGCTTTGTGAAATGGATACGGATACTGAAGAGAACAAAACAGAGAACACCACTGGTAAAGACTCAGCAGTCGAAGAACCAGTTTCACCACTACTTCCTCTACCAATAGAAAAACGTGAAGCAGGGTCCAAAACTGCTGTGGCATCACCTCCCATTACCATGGCAATAAATGAGTCTCAGGAAATGGATGAAGATGAAGGCATCCATAGTCATGATGGAAGTGACCTAAGTGACAACATGTCAGAGGGTAGTGATGATTCTGGATTGAATGGGGCTCGACCAGTTCCACAAGAAACTAGTAGAAAAAATGCAAAGGAAGCCTTGGCAGTCAAAGTAGCTGAAGGAGATTTTGTTTGTATCTTCTGTGATCGTTCTTTTAGAAAGGAAAAAGATTACAGCAAACACCTCAATCGTCATTTGGTTAATGTATACTTCCTTGAAAAAGCAGCTAAAGGGCAGGAGTAATTAAAATTTGGAAAAGGCTTCATTTCTTAGTTTGCAAAATTTATTACATTTTCATTCATAGTGGTAGACAACCTTTTATTTTTAAAGTTGCTTTAATTAGTGTCTGGTGTTAATTTTTAAGTGGCACGCTTTTCCTTAGGACACTGTATACCTAATGATGTGTAACTTCTAGTAAATCCAAGGGAGTTAGTGTACTAAACCAGCAGACACCTAAATCTGTTAGCTTATGCATTTAATTGAAACTAGAGGGCCAAGGTGGTATTATAGCATTCTTGTTGCTTTGTCTAGCTATAACTTGTCAGTTTTTTCCCCATGTCTGTCTTCCATTTCAGTTTAGTTTATTCTTAGTTTCTTGTTTAGCTCTATAAAAATTGGCATACATAACTAGCAAATTACTTGAAGAATTTGCCTGCTTTATATAAAGTTAGCACTTTAAAATTTTTTTAGAGATGAGAAGAGACATTTAAATTGAAGAAAAATTCTCCCAACAATGGACATTGTTTCAGTCCAGGTATTTACTTCTTGAGTTTTGATCATTATTTCTTATTTGTGTATGTTAATCGTCATAAAAACAATGATTTTGGTGTATTTTTTTATTTTGGTGCTTTAATGGCTTAAGATGTTGCACATTGTTTTTTTTTAACCTATGCAGTTTAATTTTTTCTAGAAATAGTATTTCTGTTGAACAGTAACACTTTATACATATATATGCATGTTTATTTTATTCTCTTTGGAGGGATGCTTTTAGTCTTGTTTGCAAAAGGGCAGTTTTCTTTTTCTTTTGCTGCAGTTGTCTTTTTTTGCAGATTATTAGTGTGTGCAAGTTTGTGAGCAAATGAAACATGCAGGTTCGGTTCATCGATTTTGATTTTCACATCTTATATCTATGCTAGAATCTGTATTTCATATGTTATTTATTTTAAATGGATGTAGTAGATTCATAGCTCTGTTTGCAGATAAATAAACCACTAGGCTCTATAATGAATGGATTTTTATCTCAAATACCAACCATAAGTAAAAGTTTTTAGCCTGCTTTATTACAGCTACATCTTAAATGTACAGTGTTAAGTCATATCTTTGAGGAAAACCTTTTTTTCGTAGATGGTTGGTGTCCATAAGGCTACTCAACTGAGTAAAGAACTATATAAGTGATATTTTGAAACTGCAAACCTGGAATTAGGAGACCGTTACTCCTTCAAGCTATACAGAATATCAGTTGTGAGAGTCCAAAGCCATAGCAATTATAAGGAAAACCTAGCATGAGAAAGGTAGTATTGAGTGCTTTTAGACCAGCTGCTACTTCCTATGAATACAGTGAAAAAGGCTGGTGGAACTTAAGTACAGTCCAGATTTAAAATCACACTTTCTCAGGGATCTCCACAAATTAGTGGGTTTCCTGGCTGTCCCTGTGACAGCCTCTTTCTACAGGTGAGGCCTCAAATGAATTGCAGCTATCCTGGTGTTCCTATGGGGAAGCTTTGTATGAAAGAGTGCGTACTCCCAAACTTTTTCGGTAGGTTCTTTGGCCAGTTGTCAAAGAATATGAAAGAGTCCAACATAGGATTTTTCTTGCTGATAGTAGTTATTCATTGCAGTAAAAATAAAATATGATCCCAATAGGGAATCTTGAACAATTCTAATTTCCTATTTTCTGTTCTGAAATAACCACTTTATATTTAACTTCTTTTATCTGGCGATCTCTTTGAGGTGCAGTGCAGGTTTCAGAGTTTGGCAGTACAACATAAAGATTAGGAAAAGCATCGAAGTGTGAGTGGAAAACTTGTTAAAAATCTGAGAGTGAAGTTTGAGTTAAAAGACATTTGAACTTTTAATTGACTGGGAGGCCAAAGATTTCAAAGAAGAAGATTCTCTCAAGACACAAGGAGTAAGTTGTATGTTAATGATGTATGTTTTGTGTGCATGAATGGGAATTTGTAAATGATGTTGAATTCTAGGTGAATTCTTGGCTCCGACAATCATTGTCAACAGAAGATCAAGCTGCAGATATTTATGTTTTAAAACTTAAATTATAAAGCTAGTTAAATCTTTCTAACAACTAGTTTTAATATTCATGGGTACATTTTATATAAGTTACCTTTTACATTATATATGAAAACATTCATGTTAAATACAGATTGGAGATTGGGAATTAGTTTGGGGAAGAGATTTTTGTGGATTCTTTCATACTACAAAAGAAAAAAATTTGACTTCTGGAGAATCTAGTTTTTAAGACTAGAATGCTAAAAACAAAAATATGAAGGAAATTAAAACCCCTTATTGTTAAATTAATCTGTGAAAATTTTGTTACTGGAAATTGAGTAGGACTTGAGGCCTTTCTTCCGGAAAACGAGGACTTGATTGTCAGGCCTATATTAGGTTCTGAACCTTAATGCCATGTATTTGTACTTATTAAAAATTGTTTCAATGAAAAGCATATTAGTAATATGAACTTCTGGTCTAGTCGGGAGTTCTTCCATTTGAAAAATGTGATATTTGCATGAAACTGTTTGAATCTTTTTGTTTTCTCAGTTTCCCTTCCACTGGATAGAATTGAAGCTAGAATTTTCCCTTTTGATAAAGGAATAAAAAGTGAACATGTTGCTTGTAAATTGATGTTTAGTAACTAGAGATAAACTTGAAATACTAGAAATATATTATAAGCCTAATCCTAGGTAGTCTTATCAAAATGTATCTCTTAACTATCTTTTGAACCTATATTTACATTGTTTTTCAAGATTTTTTAAGTTATATTTTTTCCTCTTTTCAGAGCTGCTTCTTTGGGATTACTTTTTTTTTTAATTGAAGTGTAATTCATAAGGGGCAACATTTTTTTGATAAGGCTTCTTATAGCTATGGCCTCTTCGGAGCTGCTTTTTGGGGGCTTTTTTTTTAATTGAAGTATAATTCACAAGGGGCAACATTTTTTTGATAAGGCTTCTTATAACTATGGCTGGATGTTTTGCTCTAGTCTTCCAAGAGAGGGCCATTTTATTTTTGAGAGTTACTTCTAAAGTCATGTGGTCTTCAACTCTGGGGACTGTTTTACATGTGAGTGCTAATACATATTTAAACTCGAGTAGACCTCGTCACATGTTACCCCATGAATGTTGACAATAGAAGGACTACCTTGCCTGTAATATATAACATCAGTTCTGGACTGAAAAGCTGGGGAAGAAACATAATTTTCTTTTTTTGCATAAATCAGAAAAAAAGTTAGGGTGTGGAGTTTCCTTGTTAACCTCAGCAGACAAACTGAACTGATAGCGTTAATTCAGATTTAGGAAGTTATCTGAATCTTGGTTTGTGTAGATTTGCAATCTACATGCAATATTTACTAAATCAGATAGCTTTCACAGTTTCATGTGTACATAGGCTCTCCCCACCTTCTTCAGCATCCACTAGCTATTGAACTGGCATTGAAACATTGCAACAATGTTTTGTTGCATCAGTTTTATAATTTTACAGTGCAATACGTTGTTATTTTTCAGAGACAAACCAAAGGTTAATTTCTCAAGGTTCTTGCTGCCTGCTTTAGCAGCATTTGGTGGAGGATCTTTTATATACATTTGTAATAGATGAAAAATAAACCAGATTGCAAATCCTTTTTTTTTTTTTTTTAATGCTTAAACCATGTACCAAGATTTTGGTCCAAATTGTGTAGAATAAGTTAAACTCAAATTGCATTCTATTAACCTATATGAGTGTATTTCTGTAAGCATAGTTATGTTGAAATAAAGTTTTAAAAAGCATATTAATGCCTTTGTTTATTATTGGTACATCAAGTATCAAGGAAGCCCGAATTTTTTTTGTTTTGCTGGAATTGCAACTGTATTAATTTTCTAAATTATTTCCTCCAGATAACCCATAGTAGGTAGAAAGGTCATGGCAATCTTTGTTGTTTGGGTAACAATCCAGTGGGTAGTAGTCCAAAGCATATCTTCCTGTGCTCTGCTTTCTGGGAGGTGGAGGTGAGGGAGAAACAATAAGAGGACCATTCATAGAAGGCTTATTCCTTCCCAACCACAGTTCCCCTTAACATAATGATTATGTCCCTTCTCAGTGGCAGGCCTGACATAATTTTTGACTCATAGATAGAAAAAAATTCACTGAAGGGAAGAAAGCTTGGGTTACATTGAGTGTTTACTCAGTGCCAGGGCACTCTCAAGGAATGAGAAGAAAATGAAACTCAATGGAAAGTGATTAACCATTCTCTTAGTAAGGTTTTTTGCTTCCTTTGTTAATGGAAATACACACTTGAGCTTACGTATTTCTGTGAAGTTGAGAGAAAAGGGAGAGGGAATTGGAGAAACCTGTCTGGCTATGCAGAGCGTTGGAGCAACTGTATTTACATTGTGTCCTGATGCATCGAGTGAGCTGGAATGTACTGAGTCTTAAGAAAGATTGGATATTTCAAATTTGAATTGATGAGAGTGATTCACCCTCTTTCCCCCTGCTGAAAGATTCCTTATCAGTAACAAAGCAAAACTTATTTCTAAGCATTAATTTTATTGGCGTTCTAGAATCATCAGTCTTTGAAGTTTCTACCTGACCAAAGAGATATGGGGAATTTATCTTGAATATATAAATGCAATTGATGTCTGATTTGGTTTGTCATCCTCAGTGAGAGAATGGTTATACGTGTCTTTCTGCAGCTCCTTGCTGCTACTTTCCCAGAAGCTTACTCCTGTTATAATTTTTACATGTATCATAAGTTTACACTTGACTTGTTGGCCAACTTTTTATTTTCCCTAACGTCTCCATTAGGGCTTGACTCCAGTTTATAAAGTGTAATAATATGAGCTTCCCTCTAGGGTACTTTATAGCTCTCATCTTCAGCTCCATGAAGGCAGCTTGGTGAAAATACCAAGAACAATGTGCTAATGTTTGCTAATTAGGGAAAGTTTCAATGTTAAGAAATTGTCTTTGCAAAGGATTTTGATGCCCACTTTAGTAAAAGTGCTCTGCGGGCCCTGAGGTTCACAGTAGGGCTCTCTTCCTTACTACTATAATTGGGCAAATCCTTTTTAACTTTAATAAACCTGTTCATCTATGAAATGAGGATATATGGTACTTCTATCTGTAGAGTGGCTTCAATGTTAAATACTTATTAAGCACTCACCTCAGTGCTTGGCATACAGTTTTAAGACCTCTTCCACTAGACCAGCAGTCTGCAATCTTTTTTGCACCAGAGATGGGTGCTTCTATGAGATCTAATGCCTGATGATTTGAGATGGAGCTAAGGTGGTGATGCTAGCCCTGGGCAGCGGCTGCAAATACAGATGGAAGCTTCGCTCTCTGGCCAGTCGCTCACCTCCTACTATGCAGCCCGTTCCTAACAGGCCATATACTGGTACAGGTCTGAGGCTTGGAGGTTGGGGACCCTTGCACTAGATAACAAACTAAGTATCCTTAAGTATATAAAGTACTTTCTCTATTTGGACATGATCAAGTTGTATGATTTACCTGCTTGTCCTGCATGTTTTGCAAAATAATGACCTTTTAATGTTTAGTATGTGGGCTTTTTTGTCTGTATTGTAATTTTCATAAGAGTCAAGATGCTTTTATCTTTTATTTAAGCACCTAAAACAATCTGGCCCTAGTAGAGTAAATAATTGTTAATTGCCTAGGCCAAGAATTCTAAATGTGGTGTGTGTTTCTCTTTGTTTTCAACAATGAATATATGATGGTTTTATTGTATTTTTAAAATTCTGGTAATTCAGAAATCTCATGGTTCATAGGTGGACCAGGGTATTTTTCTGGGCACCTTAACATTAACAAGGCAAGGAAAGTCAATCCAAGTAGCAGGAAATACCAAATCTTGAGAAAGACTAAGAAACTTTGAAAAGGGTCAAACTTAGAGAAGCTGCAGGAACAGTACCCTGAAATTTTATGTACCCTTTATTTGGATTCACTCATTTGCTTTCTATATGTTATATATGTATTATTTGCTGAACCACCAGAAATTAACTTTGCAGGCATACCCATTCATCTCTGAATATTTCAGTTTGTATCTCCTAAGGACAAGGGCATTCTCTTGCACGACCACACTGTAATTACCAAGTTGGTGTAGTAATTAATGTACAGTCTGTTCAATTTATGCCAAATGTCTTAATACTAACTTTTGAAAATCTCCCCACTCCTCATCACCCATTGCATTTAGTTATCACATCTCTTTAGTTTTCTTTAATTTGAAACAGTTTTTTTCCTTATTGCTAGGAGTTTGAAGATTGCATGCCAGCTATTTAAAAGGATTTCCTTAATTTTTATTCTAATTGTTTCTTCATGCCTCTAGTTTTGCATTTTGGCAGGAATACTAAACTGCATTACATCAGAATGTACATGTCAGTTTATCACATTATTGGTTGTGTTAACTTATTTGATTAAGGTGTTGTCCACCAGATTTCTCCACTATAGTTATTTTTTCCTTTCATGATTAATAATCTGTGGGAGGATGTATTGAAAAATCTTATTCCTCAACAAACCCAATGATTTTAGCATCTGTTGATTTTTGCTTAAATCTGTTACGCCTTCTAGTTAAGCTGGTATTCTGCTAAGAATAGCTTTCCCTTCCTGGAGACTCAGATTCTTGTTTCTTTCATGTGTAATCTGATAGTTACTTTACCCCAATTCAGCCTTTGGGGGAGGGGTCTCCTTTCAAGCTCTCTAAAGACCTCCTACAATATGTTAATATACTGAAGGATTTTTACTTTGGAACTCAGACATATCATTTTGCTGCTTAAGTCATAAGCATACTATAAATTTTATGACAGCTTGAAGGGATATCTTAAGGGATAAACTGCAAATGAGAATTTACCAGTGGTTAAGATTCTACTACCAAAAGGGGCAATCTTAGAGAACAATATCCTAATTCTTTCATTGATTTTTTTTGAAATATACACCTTTTATTTCTTTTTCTCTGTGCTCTAATTACTTTTTTTTAAATCACATAATGCATACATAACTATACATACATAACTACATTCTCATAAAATTTAAATCTTGACTAGCTCTCTTCCTAACCCTCTTATTCTCATTTGTTTTTTTCGAGTTAACTACTGTTGACAGTTTTCTGTTAACTCTTCATATTGAAATGAATGATTTCTATGCTTTTTATTTTTACATAATTAAGATTATTGATAGTCTGCAATTTGCAGAACTCTTAATTTGAAAATCTTTGTCAGTAGTTAAGGATCTTCCTCATTCTTTATAACTACTGCATAATGTTCTATAGTTATAGATGTATCATGGTTTAATGACTAATGTCTTTCTGATGCCCTTACTGCCAAGATTTTTTGAGAATCTGGAGGTGTTTGTGAGTGGAAACCATAAAAAAGCCATGTGAAGTGAGTGGTTCGGAGGATCCATAATTTCTTAAGATTTACAAGTTATGTTTATGCTTGTGTTCATAAGCTAGAACTTTTCAGATTTGCCAACTTTATGTTGCAGGTTTTTATTACAATGTATATATATTTAGTGTTACTGAAAACGACAATGAGTAATATGTCCAACATTTAATGTTCAGCATAGATATAGTAGGGGACTAGCACCTTAGCACTTAGCTAATATTACTGAGGCAAATGAATTATTTACATAATGGTATATTAAATTACAGTTGAATAAGGCACAGGTTCCTACATGAGCATAAGCTACAACTCTAGCTGGAGTTAAGTCATATGGGATAGGCCAGGATGAAGCCCTAGCAGGATTCATTTGCACGAAAGAAAGGTTTTTCTGACAAGATACAGATTATCTCAAAGATTTTGAGAATAAGGCAAGTCTACCCAGTAGTAAGCAGGAGTCCTTGGAATTAATAGTAGTACAGGTAACTGGTGATTTCGGTACCTGAAATCCAGAGAGGCAAGGGCAGTAAAAGACATGAGCAGTGTTAGAAGCACTGAGAACGCCTCTTTGATAGGGACACTAATGAGCATAATTCCACTAGTCCGTAGTGGCAGCAGTTGTGAGATTTGTACGTGGCTGCTCTGTTCCCTGTGCATGGAAGAGGGAAATTCCGTTAAAAGAAACTAGGAGGGAGAAAATGGCTATTTTCATGTAAGTAGGCAGGCCTTATTCATGAGTCATGTGAGATCCTGGGGATGCCCAGAAATAATTGGGGACATTTTTCATGTGTCTGGAGATCCTGCATTAGCATTAGGAGTAATCCAGATGTTCTAGTACCAAGCATTGCTCTAACCACGTTACATTAACTATTAATCTTCGCATCACTAAGAAGTTTGTTACTCCCACCTTGCTTCCAACAGACAAATTGCCTGATGGTCCACAAGTAGTAAGTGGCAGATCTGTGTCACACTTTCTGATTAAGTGGAAAATATAGTAGGAAATGGATGCTAATAAAAGGAATAGTAGTCAAAGGGATTTCAGCCTAATTTGAATGTTCTTAATGAAAAGTTAATGTATATTAACACGATATAGAGGGTACTCTAAATAGCCTTTCCTCTATTGTAATATCTAACCAGTTTTATATTTACTAAAGACCTTAAGGAGCTTACCAGCAGTAACATTAATTTCACCTTTTTGATATAAAAAGTAAACTAAGGTAAAACAATTATGCCCTTATTCTATTTATGCCTATCTGAGTTAGCATAAGCTGGCATTTTTAGATAAGCCTCTATATTAATTATGTGGGTAGCTATTTGAAAATGTAAGAAGATGGCATAATTTAAAGTTAAGAACTGAATTTACCTGAAAATGTTCTTGGTTCTTGGGCCTTGTGAGCCTGCTGTATTGT